AATAAATTATGTCCAGATAGATGCCACGTATTTTTGTAACCCAACAATTACTATTAAATTATATGTATATTTATATTTATATGTATATTTTTTTACTGAAATACATATATCCCTATTAAATATTTATTCAATACAGATTTATCTTGTCGTAGTAATAACCAAATTGTTGCATAATTGATGTAAATTATACGAAATCGATGATACATGTAATAACAATAATTGTTCATTGATCTAATAAGTTTAATAAATTTTTAATTTCGAAACTTTTTTTTAATTTGGATTTTATTTTAAATATTTCAAAAAGTTACTAATAATTTTAAATTTAATTACTTCTGATTAAAAATTTGATGTTTAGAATACTCGTCAATTTTTCTTCGCATTTATTAGTACGTACAAATTTATTAAATAAGTCATGAAGATTAGAGCTTTGATTGAAACAATGATTAAATATTAATTTTTTGCTTGCTTTTTGACATTTACATTGGTAACATTACAGAATTGCAAGTATATTTTAGTGATCAATTTATTATATGCAAAGACCTCATTGTTGTCTCTCGGATGCTAGTGATTTGTATCGATGGAAAGTCGAAATTATTTTCATCATAGAGAGTTATTCCTCGTTGCTTTTCGTAAAGTCCATTCGCGAAGTATATTTTGATGTCTCTTCTGGAAATAAAGAGTTTTCTTGTCTACAGTTACTAGAAGCAATAATTTTGTTAATGAGTCAATGACAATTGTTACGTATTTTAAAGTCAAGTTGCGAAATTAATTTAATGATATTTTAGCATATAATTTTCGTTGCTTTCTTTATTTTTTAAAATGTTCTCCCACTAGTAATAATAACATTAGTAATATTACTGTCTTAATTTAACAATTTAATATTATTAGGAATTTAGTATTATATGATTAATATATTAATACATAATAATTATTTGTTTAAATCCAAATTATTAAGTAAATAAATTTAAATTTTATACACAAATTTGCTTTTTGATATAAATATGATTGCTTTAACAAAAATATGGTTACGAATGGATATATTTCATTTTTTAACTGTTATTTTTAAAGTCATTTTTAGGTGTTGGACATCCCGCCATTGCAGAATGTTATTAATTATTAATTTATTATATGTATACGTATTTTTCAATGATAAAATACATGCAGATATTGTGAGATTTTATTTTACAAATTTTGAATTTCGTTGACTTAGACTTTTTGCCAAAATATTTTATATTCTTTTAATAATGTTATCGTGAATATATAAATTTAGTTAAAAATGTGTGGGTACATACAGAAAATTCAAGGTAAGTCGAATGGGTAGTCTTCATACTAGCAGGACAATAATAAATAAAATTTTTGAAAATACAGAAAAATACAGAAAAATAAAGAATTGTAAAATTTTATATAATAATAATAAATTTTTCATAAAAATATAGTATTTTAAAATAAATATTTTAATATCAGGTTCGATTTATCTCGAACAGGTACCCGTGAAACTTTGTACTCATACATATAAAAATTACAATAATGCATTGTATTTTATTATTATTAAATATATTCCTTCGTAACCACTATTGCATAAAAAAATTATTTTATCTGTTTATTTTTAATAAGGAATGATTTTTAATTATGGCAGAAAATATTTTCTCGTAAATTTTAATATTATATTAGAGATCCGATAGAAATGGTAATTATAATTGACATGCTACTAAAATTATTACTATCATAAGTAGTCTGGAAGATTTCGGGATTCACACTCTCTTGCAACAAGACTGATGGATGATGTTTGATGAATTGCTTAACTTTTCTATGCGAATGGATCTTGTGAATTTGACATAGAATCATATATATATTAAGTTCGCTCTCCATTATGAAAATTGTTTTTCTTTGTATCGGATATTAACCATTATGAAAGGACCTTGATATGATCTAATTATTGGGGTAGTTATCTTGAGCGCGATGAAAATGCTCTCATAAATATATTAATGACTTTTTATCACGATATTGTTAAGTTTTATATTCGCAAATTAATAATTAATAGTAAATACGATTTAATTGTTAGTATTTCTTTTGCGTTTATCAATATTTCATTAAACATTTTTAGAAAAATTTGTGTTATCGACGTTTGTATTTTCGACGTTTTCGTATAATCCCGCATTACTAAAATTTATTAATTATGCTCCTATATATTATCATTTTTATTATATTTCGAACAGCATTGATAATTTCAAATAATTATTATAATTGTAATATTGAATTGTATAAAGGATAATACAATAAAGAATAATATTAAAAAAGTTATTGCAATTTCATTAGCGCGGAATACAATAAAATAGACATAAAAATAAAAAAATAAATTAAAGATATAATTACTTGCAAAAACGGGCTACTAAATTTATTACTAGCTCGTTTGTTTTATGGATGAATATGCTAAGAAAAAAGAAAAAAGACCGATAAAATTGGCGGGAGTGGTGAAGAGCCTTTATAACTCGTTTTTGCTCAATTATATGTTTAGAAAGATTTTAAATTTATCAAAAATTTCTATAATTGCTAGCAATTGTATAGAAACTTTTATATACTAGTAATTATGTTGGTAAAAACGGGCTGAAAACTTGCATTAAAAAATATAATTTCGTAATTTTATAAGATATTGTAAGATAAATATTATAAGACAAAATTCATTAAATTAACTTGTTTGAATTTTCAATTTCGTTTATTAAAATTCAACAGAAATTAAAATTTCTTCGTTCAAGAACCCAAATTAAATTATCCCTCCTATGGATGATCGGCACGCTTCTATTTTGAGGATTTAGTACAGAGATGAACATGTACTTCCGACGATACGATTTTATCGATAGTATCAGAAAACGTGTAATCACGTAGATTTCCCAACTGGAAATGGATAGTACTGGATATTGATGATAGTGTACATGCAATTTCGACGATAAAAAAGGCTAGCATAGCCTCTCTCAGATTTTTCTCTGGTATAAGAAAACATGACTGCCAATAAAACAGTCACAAAGAGGAAAAGTAAGCAAAAAATAAAAACACAAAGTAAAACAAAACAAAAGAGTACATTGTAGACAAGTTATAGTTTATAGTTTATATTCTAAAAATATAAGTGTTTAAACAGAATAATTATTCTGCCAGGAAACTTTACATTATAAAAACTTTAATAATTAGAAAAAACTGATAGATCACTAATTAGCCTAAAGAATGTGCTTTGAAATAATAAGTAATGTGTATATAATTTATTGTTCAGTACAATATAAGCCAAAAATTTCGATAGTACACAATATAGAGAGCATAATTAATTTAGCATTATTTCATTTTACTCCTCTCACGGCATATATATATATATATATGTGTATGTGTGTTACATTATATATATACATGTGTTACATATTTGTCATTTCAGAAGATAACAGATAGTACAATTAGTTTATTAACACTAATCAAAAATTTATGAACATAATTGGATTTTAGATTGTACTTATCTATGAATAAATATTTACACAAATTTTATATACAATTTCTTCATTCATATTTAAATATTAATATCAAAAGTAAAGAATAACATTATATGCATCCAAATGTTTGTTGATAAAATGCAAATAAAAAAATGAAGATTGATATAAAAATTATATCAATTGCAACTAAATCCTAGCTTTATTCTGGATCAATAATACTGAGCTACACAATATGCATTGACATTTCCTATTAATCATTTATCAATAATAAGTATAAATATGGTCTATATAATATGCTATGTAAATATTATATAAATGAGATTTTATTATATAAAATATTTTCTCCTCATTCTGACTTATATGGGCTGCGTTCAGCAAAGCTGCTTTTTTCTCCTGAACGCAGCCGTTATCTTATAAAAGAAACACTATAAAAAAACCTTATATTCATTATTTCAACCTTGTAAATCATTCATAATATCAAGATTTATATATACCTAATAATACACCATTAGTTACAACATCTGAAAGACTGTTAGTTGAATCAGCTGGGACATATGGATCACAATGAAAAGTCAAGACTGGATGATGTCCCAAAGTATTTGGATGGTTATGCACTGAATTGTCTGCAGCTTTATGTATTCTTGAAAAATTAAAAAAATGACAAAATTAATTGCTATTAAACTTTATTATGTTATAATATTTATAAAAATTTCAATAAAATATTTTCAAACATTAAATTTCATTCTGTTAATATACATTTAATAACTATTATTCTGATAAATATAAAATAACTTAAATAAAATTAAATTATTTTGTCATAAACTCTCTATTTTTCTTCTCTATAAATTTAATTCGCTTGAACAAATACCTATGATATGTAGTTTCTTGGCTTTCTATACCCAGAAAATTGAGAACTTGTTGTTTTGTTGCTAACAGGCTTAGCATTTTTTGTATATATAATTCCAAAGCAGCTCGTCGTTGTTCCAATATTTTCGGTTGCGAGTTTCTTACTCTCTTTGGTGGAAATGGTGCAATATCTGAATTATCCTTCTTCAACTGAAAAACAATTTAAAGAAGGCTTAAATTCTCTTATATCTATGATACAATTGTTATTCAATAAATAAGATATATTAAAACATATTTTATAATAAAAATAAAAGAAATATAGGAAAAAAGGGTAATTATAGAGTTTAATTAATAAAATTAGGAGTAATTATTCAGTTAATCCCCTCTCCCTCTCCCCTGCACTGCAAATTAATAATATGGAATTAGGCTTATTCTACACGTTTTTGCACAAAATGAACAAATCTGGCAAAAAAATGTCGCTCTCTTTCGCAAATCGAGATATTAATTGTTAAAATCGACAGATACTCAGATTAGAAAATTTGTCATATCGATGGCATAAAGGGTTACATAAATTCTCTGTTTTATAAACATAAATTCACTTTAAAAAAAAACAAATTTTCTGCCTTCAAAACAAATTCGTTTCTAAATAATTGTTTTTACAATAGAAAATTTGTTTTTAAAGCAAAGAATTGGTTTTTTAAACGGAGAATTTGTGTAATTAAAGCAGAAAGAATTATTTTAGCCTCATTTACATGTTTTTATGTTTTTATGCCTCGAACAGATTTCCTAATAATCCTGAATAATCGTCAACTTTAACAAATTGACAACTTAAACGTTTTTTTGCTAAATTCATTCATTTTGTGGACAAATGTGTCCAATAAGTCTAACTTTATTGATTTTTGAGGTGTTACAGTTAAACTGTAATTACTAAAAAAGTAGATCATATTAGAGTTTTTTTACATCAATTATTAATAATTAACACCTCTGTAATATACCTTGCGGTGTAACGCACTAAATTCACTGTATCTTTTCTCGATGAAATGTCGAGTGCCAGTCTTTGATTCCAAAACTTCGATACAGTAAACATAATAGGGTTTGCCATGTGACACGTCAGCTAAACGGTAACCATTAATAAAAGCTTCGTACATTGCATCGCTAATAATTTCCGGAAGTAATAATATTTTATATAAAATGCTTGTATGTACAACAAATTTACATATAAAATAAGGTTAGAAATTGAATCTAGTGATCTCCAATATCAGAGAAACCTGAGATGACACTACGACAGAGGCCTTTTTCTTGTTATTATCGAAATCATACATTATCGCCAGTATATCCATTTTCGATTTGGGAACTACGTGCTACATCCATTTTCTGACTCTGTTGATAGTATAGAGAATTTCTTTGGTAACAAAAAAAACTAAAATGCCGGCAGTAGGTACACTTATCTTTCGTTTCTCTCTGTCGCAATGAGGCTCTACCTTCGCGAAATGCACAGTTTTATTAATTAAATTAATAAATTTAAATTCCGAAAAATATTGAAATTTTCGCGAGTGATCACTCTTAGAATGAAATCACACGGTCCGGAATAGGATTGCGGAATACAGAATGAAACAACCAATCAGCGCTATTCCGCACTTTTCCATCACGCATGTTCACGTCAAAGTATCCAGCATGAATATAATTTAAAACCTAATTTCATGTTCAATAATTTGCATATTAAAATAAAATATAATTTTTCAAATTGTAAAAACAATTTCCACTGATGTAGTATTTAATGTTTCACAATTAATATTTATAATCTCATAACAATTTTTTGAACTGCTTTAATGCATTTACTATTATTTTTTCGCATCGTGTGAACACAGCACAAAACTGGCGAGATGGAAAAGGGCACACTGAAATCGCACGTAATGATCAGACTTTGTTATTTTGCTTCATTGATCTCGACATTACGCAATTCCATCATATCAATCAGCATCAAATTATTTTAACCTCTCAAAATATAATGATTTATTACAAGAACAACGACATACTCGCTATTCCACAATATCAAATGCAGAATTAGAAATAGCGCTGATTGGTTGCTTCAATGACACATTCTGTATTCTGCAGTTCTATTCCGGACCGTGTGATTTCATCCTTATACATACATTCTCGGTAAAGCTAGTATACTTACGCATACTTTCCGTAAACATAACGTAAGTTTTCGACCAATTGCTCGATTCAGTTATCCGTAAGGTCGGATCAGACTATGTATTGAAGATTGGGATTAAAGATTAAAGATTGAAATTTCACCAATGAGAACAAAGAAGTTTTGGCTCCTTTTGTTTTGATTGGTCAAACCTCAATCTTTCAATTTTCAATCTCATTCTTCAATGCGTAATCTGATTCCGGTCTTACTGTTAATAGCCTAGTTTCCATCGAGGGTTTAATTCGGATCAGAATGCAAGAAGCTTACTGAGCGTTCTGTCGTTTGACTGTAACAGGGGAATACTCGACTGTAATTAGTTAGTTCTTACATTCTGATTCGGATTAAACTCGGTGGAAACTGGGCCACTGTCACAGAAAGTGTGTGTGACTAATCTAGTTACCGCCAATCCAATGAGCGCTCGAATACATATCCGCAGTGATTCATCGCGCTCAATGGGTGCATTCAGTACTATAATCGTTTACTGAGCACTTAGTGAACTCTTGCATCTGATTGGGATATTCCGTTAGAACTAAAAATATGGACCAAACAGGTACAAGAACTCACTGAGCGCTCAGTAAGGCTGCATTCGGAAATATTACCTGACTGTGCTTGTATTGTTTTATCCTTCTTGTTCATTCAATTTTAAGTAAGGATAAGATGATACTCATGGCACTGGATAATATTTCTCGGTCTATAATATACTAAATGTATCCATTGGTTGATATGCGAGTGGTGTGGTGAAGTTCCAGGGAAGGTTACATAAATAGCGCGTAACTCGCAGTAGCGAGTGTTTTTGTCAGTTTTTGCGGCCAGGGGATGGGATTACGCCTATCATGTTATTACCTGTTGGAATAAATAGCCTTGTTCACAGCTTTGGCTTCGTATCAGTAATCGGTTACTTATTATCTTTCCTCTTAGGATTTACACTTTGACGGAAAAGCGGAAGCCAATTGGAACTAGCAGCAGTAATAGGCGGTACATTTCTGCTTCTATCTTTCTGAGTTCTGATTGGCTTCCGCTTTCCGTTTTTCCATTAATTTGTAAATCCGGCCTTAGAAGCGATATTTCTTCGCATCGAAGAATCCCTATCGGAAAAACGACGAGAAATGGATGAAAAGAATCATTGCTTGGAATTCCAACAAGGTAATCAATAATTAAATTATGTTAATATTTTTATACGCGACGCGAGAAATATTTTAAGAGCAGAATCTATTTTTAAGCTCTCAAAGAGTTTTAAAATATTTTAGGCCACAGTTTAATATAATACGAAGTATTTTCGATAACATCTTAAATATCGCGTAGTGTAGATTTTAGTAATACCAATACCTTGATTATTCGATGGAAAATATTTTTCTTAATACTCGTTTGAAAAGCAAGACGTATTAAAACGTCGTACTGCCGAGTCTCGCTTTTTATTAGGCCTCGTCTACAATCAAGTCGGCTAACTCGGATGTCGTAAAAGATGGGATTTGACCAATCCAAACGACGCTCAACAGCCGACAAGAAAAATGAAGGTTATGCGCATGCACACAACATATGACAACGTCTCTCGACTGATTTGTAGACCAGACCTTAAGCATGAAGTTGACTGACATCAGAGTCGATCGCGCGGGAAACAACGCCGCTTCCCTATTTCGATTGCACTTACATTTCATTTGCGAGATATGATGGGTAGGAGATGAGACGGCGGAACGGACTGGCTCTCAAACGAGTGGCAGCGCGATCAAATATATGGTAATTAAAACTATATAAAACTATATAAAACTATGTGACCATTATAAAACTTATCATTTTTCGATATTTATACTAATAACTACTGAGTGTTTTTCATGACAACGCAAGTCGATACAATCGTTCTATCCTTGATGTTCAGAGAGTGACAAAGATAAAACGACTTTCATATCATGTCGATTTGTGTCATCAAATGGAAAGATTCGGTATTCGTATGCTTCGTTCGAACGCGTATTTCATAAATGTTCATCCAAAAGTGTATCGCTGTGAATTAATAATAAGATTTTCCTATCAATGTACAGTATGAAAATAATGTCATCATAAAAGACGAGCGGACTATGTTATAATATATGCTCACCTGCTTTTATGATAATTATTATTTCCATATCTCGAGCATCAGATATATCTGATGTTTGAAATAAACCCTAAAATTATCCTAAAATTATATATAAGAAAAATTCATGAATGCGATGCTAAGAATGACAAGCGTAGCAACGTCACGTCATTCGGGCCGCTCTTAGCTTGGCGCATGAAATTGATCATGCAAAAAGGAGAACCTTTTGCCATCTTAATTACATTTCTTTAACATGTTTGTGATAGACATGAGATAGACATGAGACTGATCCTGAGACAAGTGGCATTGTGATCAAACGATAATTGGAATTTATACCTATATCTGCCCTGATGAAAATAAAAATCAAAGCATAAGTTGAATGTAATAGGAAAATAACAAAAGCATAAATGAAACTTTTAGAAAGCGAAAATTGAAACGTAAAAAATGTAAAAGAAGTGTAAATGCTTATTCCAATTTTCTAAAAATTTCGTTCTTCTGTCTCACACTTCTGTTACTCTTTCATTACGTCGATTTATGCTCTGATTTTTATTTTCATCAGGGGGTTTATTATGCAATACTTATGTCAATTTCCATTTTAATTCTAAAGATTAGAAAAAGATAAAGAGTAAATTGAACTGAGATAAAGTTAATCTATTGGTGGGAAGAGGCATTGATTCGTGCAATTATAGATTTAATATTTACTAAGGTTCAAGAGAGAGATTATGCGAGACATGAAATCACTTTGACACATTAATTGCAATTATTTTATTTGCAGAATGCAACGGACAGAATACAAGACAGATCGGTTCCGAATGAGAAGTGTCTTATTGAATTGGTAAGCAAAATTTATATTAATTTTATATCTATTCTTACAATATCTAATAATCGTGTAATTTAGATTCGGCACTAATAATTCGGCGAATAATTTGAACATATACAGCACAATTGTACAGCTGTACTGATAGCGTTCCCATCGCTTTTGACATGTAAAGTTGAACACCTAAAAAATTTTCGCCATCTAATTGTTAGGCATTCAAATGTTCAAATTTCATTTGTAAAATATCGCGAGTATCGACAAATTTCCTCCATTCTTATTTTTCTGTTGTCGCAATATAAACGATGCATCACATGTAATTAATATCGAGATTACACAAAGTATGATATGGTCACATAATATTTAGTAACTATTTGCAACTGTACTTAATTTTAACAAACGATTTCTTTCAATTTAATAGATGTTGCCTACATATTGCAAAGCAAATTATAACAACAGGAAAGAGAAAAGAAATAGAGAAGACTTGACAACTCTGTGCAGGAAGAGGCTTAGGAAAAGCATTATCGGATAGAGACGTTGATAGAGCAATTTTACGATGAGCAAGTTTACTTTTGTAATAAAAATTAGTCCTATCTTCCTATTAAGTTGTTTTATTTCGATGATTAGAAATAATAATTAAAGAAAAAGAATCCAAAATATTATGAAAGTTTATTTTTATGGAGACAAAATTGAAAATATAAATAAAAAATTATTGAAAAATTTAATGTACAATATAAAAGTTATTTTTTTATTTATTGATTATTTTGAATGCTAATATGGATCTTATGTTTGTATGTTACAACAGAATCATCGTAACTACGCTACTACGGTAACTACTAATAACTCCACTGCTGCGCATCGGTCGGTGAGTGACAAAAACTTTTATTAATGAGGTGACGAATCTGTGAAAAATGTAGCAAACAACTATCGACATTATTAGAAATAAATATAACGTTTCATGGATTCGTTATTTAAAAATGGATAAGCTACAAAAAATCATGATACATATATATAATCTTAGATTTTTCTATCGCTATTTATCAACTTGGTGTGTATTTGAAGTAATGTGTTTATACTCATACAAATACACATATAAAGAAAGAAAATGAAATAGAATTTAATGATCACTTAGCTAATATAATTAAATATAATTAAAAGAAACAAAATGACTTGAATACTTTTAATTGTATTGA